AATAACAGCACCCCTAATGCTCATATACAGCTCTCAATTCAAAACATAATCAGCGACTTACAACCTCAACTGGATAATGACAGTTCTGTTTTACAAGTACTGGGGAAACAAATCTTTCTTGTTCACAGACAGTCCTCCAATCTCACACAAATCCTCACCCAAAATAATACATCTACTTTGAACATGGACACTGGTACCAGAGCTTGTAATAAACCCAGATGCCAGCTTTGCTGCCACATACACCTAGACAGGTGGAGTAGGGCTGAGTTGTTATCTTGTAGGTGTTCATAGCCTGGCGAACTCCTACAAGATAATGACTCACCCTACCCCACCTTCTGGAGTAGATATAAATTACCTGCCTACCATTTTTCTTCTCACCTTGACACAGATACTCCATCTTTCTGTGTTATACCTCTGAGGATGCCAGTCACAGCTACTGGCGAAACGTCAGGTTCTACAATGCCAAGACCATGGCCACACAACCTGTAAAATCTACAGCAACTAACAATACAACATCTACTTTGAACATGGACACTGGTACCAGCGCTTGCAATAAACCCAGATGCCAAGTTTGCTGCCACATACACCCAGATAACACAATCCCTGGACCTAACAACATTGACACCATCTCAAGCTTATTCACATGCTTATCTTCTAACACTGGATATGCCATTAAATACCATCAATGCTCTTCCATTCTCTACATAGGGTAAACAGGTCAAACCCTACGCCAAAGCATAAATGGACACAAATCTGACATCAAGAATCACAAGTCTGAGAAACCTGTAAGAGAACACTCCAACCTTCCAGGACATTCAATGGGTGACCTCAAAGTAGCTGTTTTATTGCAAAGGAACTTCAGGAACAGACTAGAATGGGAAATTACTGAATTGCAAATTATTAAAACAGTCAAAACAATGGACTCCCCAGGACTTAACAGGGTTATTGGTTTCTTAACTCACTACATATGTTGTTCTTGTTCAGCCCTTACATCTGTATTCTCACCAGAAGGGCCATACATCCTCTTTATTTAATTTTATTTCTTATTTGGAATAATAAATTAAAACAGTAGATTGTAGTGTAACGTAATTAATATTTCTCTGGTCTAGGAACTGGGGAGATAACTACACAGCCAATCACCCCACTTCAAAGAAGATGCTGTAAGGTCACCTCCAAGCTAGAGAGGAGATGGGTGGAGCATAATGGCAGGGTCTCAGTTAATTACTCTCAGCATTCTGCAATTAAGGATACATCTGCCCATCAATCTGCAGTTTTGACATATTTATTTCCTCCACTATGTTTTCCCCAGAATTAAACTCAAATGAATGGTAACCACATATATTAAGCTTGTTATTCCTGTTTGATCCTTGAATCGGATAAGCATCATTATGCTGTATGCTGGTGTACTGCTCACCCTCTACCTATATGTATGGACTGGTAATTTCCATTTCATTGTATCTGAAGAAGTGTGTGTGTACATGAAAGCTTATACCTTGAATAAAACTTTGTTGTTCTTAAAGGTGCCACCGGACTTAAACTTTGTTCTGTGAGAAAACTGGCAGTGATGTTAACTTGGGAGCTGCTGTTATAGTCCCTAGATCATGTGCAGATGGCCCAGCTCAAAATGTGTTAGATTTGCAACAAGTGCACGCACTGAATGGACCCCACAATTACAATAGAAAATATGTAAATAATCAGATCTCATCTAAATACTTTTTCATAAATATTTTAATCTCACCAATCCACTGTGAAGTTAAGGTGCTTATCAATAAAGAAACTGAGGACTGTCTCAGTTCAGTTGTTGTTTTCACTGCTGCTGATTCATGCCTCAGGTTCTGAGCGTAAGCTCCCACTACTTTAGATTTGAAGAAATCTCACTCTTCCTTTGTGTGCATAGAAAGAGAGAGAGCAGTCTTTTTAATGATACTTGATTATAAATTTAATTGGCAAATATTCTTTTTGTTATATTAAGTAAGTACTAACTACTGTGTTTACTATGTTTGTAAAAATTAAGATCGGACACTGAGATCCTAACTAATCACTTTGTTCCTCTCTGAAGCCTTGGTGGTAGGCAAGGAGAAATGGGGGGAAATGCAGTCACTAAAGCCATTTTAGTATTTGTGTGAGCCAGATTATGAAGCAGATGGTCAAAAATTCCTTCTCAAAATAAACTTATTTTAAAACTTGTATGGTTAGTACACTTTCTGTCCACCCACCAAGAGTTCAAACTTCAACAGAACTGTAGAGGGTGGTATTCCACAGTGCTAGGGCAACATCAGAGAATGGCTTCTGTGTACCCCTGTATGGTGGTGCTGAAAAAATGGATGAATTGATTCTGGTGACAATTTTGTTAAAAATAAACATTTTCTGAATGGCTGAATCGTTTCTTTATTAATTAATTTAAAAACTAATGCTGAAGGGGAGAAGAATGGATGAATTGGTACTGTTGTTGATAAAACTGCTTCTGTTTGTACTGGGGAGTATAATTCACTGCCCTAAATTAGGAAATTCACTGCCCTAAATTCAGAAAAGGCCATCTTCATATAAGAATAAGAGATTTCCTACAGATAAATCTGGATATTGATGGTTCTTCTGTTGGAATGTTTAGTTATATACACATAATGAGTAGTGATGGGTGACAGGGGAGAGAACAGAGGGAGGGGCTTTTGGGAGGGCATGTCCTCTGTCTTCAATAGGTCATGGGACAGACAGGATAAGTTACATTATTTTGAGAGAGAAAAATCAGCAACCTACAAGATGTTACTTGGTGCCCATCATTTTAAAAGTTCACACATGGGGACATGTATAGCAACCTTACCTTGCAGCCCAGTAATCCTCCATTAACTGATTGCAGAAGAGTAGAACCTGGGGCTACCGGATTGTTATGGCTGTTGGTCAAAAACTTAAGGAGTATGAGTATAATATTGGTGGCACTTTCCTGATTGTGGAAGGAACTTTTCCTCCACAAACACATCAATTATTTTTGTTGGCTATTCATTGGTTTCCTTTAATTTGCATTTTTAAAAAAACACCCCAAAACTCCTTAATTAAACCGCTGACCTGCAGATTCATTCAAGGGGAATTACATTACCATTATGCTGCTATAAATGTAGGACAAGGCTTTACTTTGCTTTGGAATGACTGGGATAGCATGAAAATAATTTCTGTCTGAAAAATATATTATTACTTGAGTACCTTAAAGTCTTTAAATTCATATGGTTGGATCTAGCCAGCTTTTTCATGCACCCTCAGCTAATCCCCCCCCCCATAGCTCCCGTTGCACATGCCTTTTGTTCATGCAGGTTCCAAGATCCCTAGCACAGCCTTTTTGGTGGTCAAAGGGGACCTCCTCCTTTCCTTTGCACAGCAGAAAATCTGGTTGGATCCAACCCATTGGCACTGTTTAAAGGAAATAAAATCCTGCATGTTTGCTTATAGTCTCAGTTATTGTATTCATATTAATAATTTTATAATTTTAGGCAGAAAGCAAATGTGTCAGAAATTCATTTTCATCCCCAATTCTGGCTTGTTTCTTTTTAAAATAAGTTATTTTTTAATTTTTAAAATAATAAGTTATAAGAATAAAATGCATTGCACCATGGGCTGCAGTACATTTTAATATTTTCTTTACAACATGTTGCTATACTTGAAAAATGACTGCGCAAAAATATCTCTGGCTCATTTTTCAAAGGGAACTTTGTAAAAACAAAACACTTAACACTGTATGGTTATAGTACAGCCATTCTTCTCATCTCTCCTTTTCCCTGAATTCCCAATATCAAGAAAATTTTTGAAGGATTTTCCCCCCAGTGTCTGCCATGACCTCATTTTAAAATTAAAACTAGACTATTGTACAATGAGGTGGAATTTGTTCATTTATATGAACTCCATGTGGATTTAAAAAATCAAGATAAATCTTCATGCACAGCATACAGTCAGATTACCCCTCGACAATATATTTACATTGGGTCTGATAGCAATCAATGGTTTAGCTTCATTGCATTTCAAGATGTATTTGCACCCAGTTGTCCAGTGATAGTGTCCTCACCCTGGAAATAATTTAGTTGCAAATTGACTGGAAGATGGTGAAAATTGAAAGTTAAAATTAGAAATACTCATAATAAACAGCAGAAAAAAGGTCAGATGATGCCACGCTATGATGAGATTGGAATGGTTGGTAAATGAGGTTTTGTGTTTGTCATGAGATGTATGTGACATGCCTACCCAATGCTGTTGTAATATCCAGCCTAGCAGAAGAGATTATCTGGCAAATTGACGCTGGAAAGAATTTTCTTCCGGACTGGGAAATTAAAATCGCACTCTTTTCTTTGATGTGTGCAAGCCTGGCCACATTAGGCAGCCAGTTCAGACTGAATATTAACTATATCATTTAATACATACTGTTAAAATTGTCTACAGAAAATAGTACTATTATTGCATTTAAATACAATGTACTACCTTAACCTTATAAGGTAAACATTTAGTGCAACATAAAATCACTTACCTTTGTATGTAATTTAAATTTTGTTGTGTGTAAATCCTCTCTTTTCTTTTTTGATATTTAAATCAAGTATTGTAGCGTAAGATGGCTTTTAAAAAAAATGCTGTTTAATTGTTCCAGAGAAACAAAGAAAAGTTAAGTGTTAACAAAATAATTATTTTGCAGAACAAAGAATTGAGGGTGTAAGTTGATTCATTTAATGTGGTATAAACATTCAGGCCAAGATGCTAGAGAGAGCTAGTTATTGATTAATCTTTTAAGGCAATATAAGGTTATCTAAACAAGAGAGAAGAGTACATTTTAATGTATTTATAGAGTCTGCTCTGCTTCAAAGATAAGTGTGCTGTCACCTTTGTACCTGTTCAGTTTCAAAAATAGTTTTACTTGAATGCATAACCTGCAATATTTTAAATTGCAATGAGACCCTAACAGTTCACAATCAGAGTAACCTAGTAACAATGTTAGCTATATATAACATGTTCTTACATCTTTGAAGCAGGAATAAACACACCAGAGAAGGAACCAAAAGTAAATATTGCAACAGGGGAACAACCACTACTTCCACCAAAAGAAGAAGATGGTGCGCCCAAAAAGCCCAAAGTGTCTGAGGACAATAAGTTTGGTCATGAACAGGTAAAGAGAATTTTTAGACCTTTGTGGCTATATGCACTGACCCTCTGATGCCACAATTTGTTTCTTTGATAATGTTTGTCATACTGTTTCACCATGTGGCTTGTCCTTGTTGGCACTGGCCAGATTAAAAAACAAAAAGTCTCCTTGATCTCATCCATTTTGTGAAAATAAAATGGTCCAGATTTATTACAGTATTCAAATCTATATGTTGGAACTAATTACCAGATTGCTGTATACAGAAAGTATTTGAGTGCTTGAGGGCCAAAGAACACCAAAGAAAGCCCTAGAAAATCAAACAAGATCTAGAAATCTCTAGAAATACAAACTTTGTGCCAAAGTACCTCATATTTTCTGTTCATATTATCAGATACTTTTTGCCATAGTGATCTAGAGGTGTGTTCTTCCTTTCCACCTGGGGACTTCTTGGCCAATTCAAATATAGCATGATATAAAATAACAAAAGTCATGAGTTAACTAAATAAAGAAGCCCATTAATGTAATTGCCAAAGTTATGTTGCTGCCATATAACAGAATACTATAATTTGTGACACACAAATTACTTCTGAACCTTTTGTTTTCCCATGTTTATTGTATGTCTTGGGCAACAGCTGAAGATAGTGATGAAGCAATGAAGGCCTGTAATCACAGGAAAGTGGCAAAAAGTAGCAAGATTTCTGTTATCTAATTCTGTTCTTGAAAACAGGGCTAGTATGATTAGGTTCTATTTTTTTCCCTGCTCATTAAATGTACTTTGTCTAATGAGCTGAATTTCTGTTGGCTATTTTTCAGTTTTACCAGTGTCCTTATTGTAACTACAATAGCAGGGACCCCAATCGTATCCAGATGCATGTCCTGTCACAGCATTCTATGCAGCCTGTAATCTGCTGTCCCCTCTGCCAGGATGTCCTGAGCAACAAAATGCATCTCCAGCTGCATTTAACCCATTTGCACAGTGTGTCACCTGACTGTGTGGAGAAACTGCTTATGACAGTAAGTGTTTAAAATGCTGATGTGCATTTGACAAGTCCATGTACGTAACTGATGCCCAATATATTCTGGCACTGGAACTAAAGTGAGAGACTGGGAATCGGGGCTCCTGAGATATCTTCCTCATTCTGCCAATAACTCAGACTATCCTTTTGGCTCATTCACTTAACCCTATTTTTCAAGGACATGAAACTCTGAAGCTCTCATTAAAGTTAACCTTTCAAGATCAAATCAGTACCCCTGTGCCTCTATGCACAATCTGTACCAGATCCACTAACATATTTTACCATAGGGGAATGCTGTGTCTTAATTTACTGTAAATTGTGGTGTGAGGGCTAAAAGTCTTCATGCAAGAAACAACAAGAGGCATTTTTAATTGTCCTAGGTTTTGTAATCTAATTGTATAACCACCATCATCCTGGATGTACAATTACATTATCTTCTAGAAACTCTCCTGCATTATCAAGAAGAATAAAAGAAGCTCAGAAGTGTTTTAAAATTATGAAAATACCTTTAAAATAGTGGGGATAGAATGTACCTGAGGATTGTTGGTCCAGCCTACTGATGCAATGTCCCAGCTAGAGAGCAGGAACCCCATACCAAAAGTACAAACACAATTCTGGCCATAATTTATTAAATGTACTCCTTAACTGAATCCTAAAGTTTGCTAAATATGCTGGGGAAAAGAATCTCCCCAAAATTTGAAGTGTACCCATTGTATTGACTTCCTTATGTATGTGAGATTGAGGTTAAACTGGATTTTACTAGTGCCCAGAGAAGTAAAGCCGGACCCACAAACTGCTTAGTATACATGTTCATGGCAAGCAAAGGACAGTGTGAGCTTTCAGTCTCTATATTGTTAGAATGTTTGCATTAGCAATATTCAGCCCTTTCCAATTTCCTCTGATATATGAAAATGTAAAGATTAATGAAGCTATTAGTTGTTTTAATTGGCCATATATGGTAAATGCCATAAATTGAGCAGTTACCTTGGTAAGTCATTTTTGACTTTTTCTTTCTTGCTTTCTTTTTTAGGTTCCTGTACCAGATATGCTGATGCCTAATAGTATGCTACTGCCAGCAGCTTCTTCAGAGAAATCTGATTGTGACACCTCTGCAAGTTTGACAGCTGAGGGTTCTGGGAAATATTCAGGTAAGGCAACTAAGCAGTAGTGCTTTTTGGTATTTTTTTTCTCTTTCAGTTAAATTTACATTGCACTGTTTTTCTTAGGAGCACAGTGTCATAAAAGGTCTTTTCCCTTAAAAGTGTAAAAAATGTGTGGGAGGAAAGAGACTAAATCTGTTATAAAGTTCATGTTTTATGTAAGCTTGCTGAGTCAATCTCCAGCACCTAAGATTAAGGGATATTGCCCAGCAGGAAAAGATCTTTGCCATATTCTTTGAGAATTTATTTATGATAATCAACAAACATTAATAATATGGGAACTATATTGTTAATTGATTTATGTCAAATGAAGATCTTATGCCTAAAATTCAAGCACGTGAACTACATACATTTCATTTGAAAATAGCTGTAGTCAGTGTTTTATTAAAAATGTATGCTGTTGATTCCAAAGATTTCTTCAATTATCTGTGGGTATATTGGACATACTCATTCATTTAACATATACTCTATATAGTAAAATATTATAATGGCTAAATATAATTTCTTTTTTTCTTTTTTAACTAGGTGAAAGTCCTCCAGAGGAGAAGAATATCCCTGGGCTTGAAGAATCAAAAACGGGAATGGAAATTAAAATAGAGGAACAGAAGCCACTCAAAGAATCTACTGAAATGCCAGAATGGAACAAAAACAGCACTAAGGATATAAAGATCATTGAATCACTGCCAGATCAGTTGAATGAGCAACAGAAGAGGCAGCAGCTTTCAGTTTCTGATCGCCACGTCTATAAATATCGTTGTAACCATTGTAGTTTGGCTTTTAAGACTATGCAGAAGCTTCAAATACATTCCCAGTATCACGCTATTCGGGCTGCTACCATGTGTAGCCTTTGCCAACGTAGTTTCCGTACATTCCAAGCTTTAAAAAAACATTTGGAAGCAGGCCACCCAGAACTCAGTGAAGCTGAAATTCAGCAGTTATGTACGTCTTTACCTGTAAATGGTGAACTCTGGGCAGAGAGTGAAAGTATGGCACAAGATGAACATGCACTAGAACAGGAGATAGAAAGAGAATATGAGATTGACCAGGAAGGTAAAGCAAGTCCTGTAGGAAGCGATAGTAGCTCCATTCCAGATGAAATGGGCTCAGAACCAAAGCGGACCTTACCTTTTAGAAAAGGGCCAAATTTTACTATGGAAAAATTTCTAGATCCTTCTCGGCCGTATAAATGTACAGTGTGCAAAGAATCCTTCACTCAAAAGAACATTCTTTTGGTCCATTATAACTCAGTCTCACATTTGCATAAACTCAAAAAGGTGTTGCAGGAAGCATCCAGTCCTGTCCCTCAAGAAGCTAACAGCAGCACTGACAACAAACCCTACAAATGCAGCATTTGTAATGTTTCTTATAGCCAAAGTTCTACACTGGAAATCCATATGAGATCTGTGCTTCATCAAACCAAGGCAAGGGCTGCAAAATTAGAACCAAACAGTAATGCAATGAGTGGAAATAGCATAGCAGGGAACGTTAATAGCCCCAGCCAAGGAATAGTAGACCCTACAAGCTTACCAGTGGCTAACAGCAAAGAAACCCATATAGATGCCAAAGAATTAAATAAAAAGCAAGCTTCTGAATTAGTTTCTGCTCAGCCTACACATCATCCTCCCCAGTCACCAGCACAACTGCAAATGCAACTTCAGCATGAACTGCAACAGCAAGCAGCTTTTTTCCAGCCCCAGTTCCTAAACCCAGCTTTTTTGCCTCATTTTCCTATGACGCCAGAGGCGCTGTTGCAGTTTCAACAGCCACAGTTTCTATTTCCATTCTATATTCCTGGGACAGAGTTCAGTTTGAGCCCCGACCTCGGTTTGCCTAGTTCTGCTGCATTTGGCATGCCTGGAATGGCAGGTATGGCAGGCTCACTGCTAGAAGACCTAAAACAACAGATGCAGACTCAACACCATGTTGGTCAAACACAACTGCAGATACTACAACAGCAAGCACAACAATATCAAGCAACACAACCTCAGATTCAGCCACAAAAGCAGCAGCAGCATCAAAGCAGTAAGTTGGTGAAAACGGAACAAAATAGTGTAGTAACTACAGAGTGCCAGATGATGAAGGATACACCATCATATAAGGAATCAGAAGAAATTTCTGAAAAGCAAGAAAAACCAAAGCAGGAATTCACAAGTGACAGTGAAGGATTAAAAGAAAACAAAGATATAAAGAAACAGAAGGGCTCTGAACCAGTCATTCCACCACCTAGAATTGCTTCTGGAGCAAGAGGAAATGCAGCCAAGGCATTGTTAGAAAACTTTGGCTTTGAGTTGGTTATTCAGTACAATGAGAACAGACAGAAGGTACAGAAGAAAAGCAAAACTGGTGATTGTGAAAATACTGACAAATTGGAATGTGCAGCATGTAGTAAATTATTTTCCAATATTCTGATATTGAAGAGTCATCAAGAACATGTTCATGGCCAGTTTTTTCCATACACTGCACTGGAAAAATTTGCCCGTCAATACAGGGAAGCTTATGACAAGCTTTATCCAATTTCACCATCTTCTCCAGAACCACCACCACCTCCTCCACCACCTCCACCTCAGCCTACAACTCCTTCACAGCCTCCTTCGTCTAGCTCTGGAAAAATTCAAAGCATGACTCCCACCCCTTTACAAGCACCACCTCCAACTCCACCTCCTCCGCCTCCTCCTCCACCTCCACCACCACCTCCACCTCCACCTTCTGCGCCACCACCGGTACAGCTGCCAGTTTCATTGGATCTTCCCCTTTTCCCCCCAATTATGATGCAGCCAGTGCAACACCCAGCATTGCCTCCACAACTTGCCCTCCAGCTACCCCCAATGGATGCATTGTCAGCAGATCTTACTCAGCTTTGTCAGCAACAACTAGGGTTGGATCCAAATTTCCTACGGCATTCTCAGTTCAAGAGGCCACGTACAAGGATCACAGATGACCAATTAAAAATTTTGAGGGCTTATTTTGATATTAACAATTCTCCAAGTGAAGAACAGATTCAGGAAATGGCTGAGAAATCTGGCCTTTCCCAAAAAGTTATCAAACATTGGTTCCGCAATACCCTATTCAAGGAAAGACAAAGAAACAAGGATTCTCCATACAATTTCAGCAATCCTCCCATAACAGTTTTGGAAGATATAAGAATTGAACCACAGCCCAGTTCTTTAGAACATTACAAGTCTGATTCAGCTTTCAGCAAACGATCATCTAGAACTAGATTTACTGACTACCAGCTTAGAGTCTTACAAGATTTTTTTGACACAAATGCTTATCCAAAAGATGATGAAATTGAACAACTTTCCACAGTACTTAACCTACCTACCCGAGTTATTGTTGTATGGTTCCAAAATGCACGACAGAAAGCTCGTAAAAGTTATGAGAATCAAGCTGAAACTAAAGATAATGAGAAGCGAGAGCTCACCAATGAGAGGTACATTCGAACAAGCAACATGCAATATCAATGTAAGAAGTGTAGCGTAGTTTTTCCTAGAATTTTTGACTTAATTACGCATCAGAAAAAGCTGTGTTATAAAGATGAGGATGATGATGCACAAGATGAAAGCCAAACAGAAGATTCAATGGATGCTACAGATCAAATGCTTTACAAGAATGGTACATTTTATGGCCCATCTGACTCATCCAAAAGTGTGGCTATAACAACCACCACTACCACCACAAGTTCTGGCTCTGGTTGCAGTACACCTTTAATGCCATCACCCAAACCAGAACCTGAAAAAACCTCTCCTAAACCTGAATCAACAGAAAAGCCAAAGCAAAATGATATCATACCTAAGCAAGCAGAGACCTCCTCCCAAGGCACCAAATCACTGCAGTCTGCTCCAACAACTTCTTCTGATCCACAGCCCTCAGCCTCTCAAACACAGCAACAGAAACAGTCCCAAATAGGAGGAAGACCACCTTCTGCATCACAGTCTACACCTGTTCCTTCCAGCCCTTTAACAATCTCACTGACTTCTCTTCAAAACAGTCTACCTCCTCAGTTATTACAGTACCAGTGTGACCAGTGTACTGTTGCCTTTCCCACTCTAGAACTTTGGCAAGAGCACCAGCACATGCATTTCTTAGCAGCCCAAAATCAATTTCTTCATTCTCAGTTTTTAGAAAGACCCATAGATATGCCCTATATGATATTTGATCCTAACAACCCTCTGATGACTGGGCAGTTGCTGAATAGTTCTTTAGCTCAGATGACTCCACAAACAACCTCAGTTCATACAACTCACCACACTGCTTCAGTTTCTGCCTCACTTAAACGAAAACTGGATGATAAGGAGGATAACAACTGTAGTGAAAAAGAGGGAGGAAACAGTGGTGAGGATCAGCACCGGGATAAGCGATTGCGAACTACCATTACTCCAGAGCAACTAGAAATACTCTATGAAAAATACCTTTTAGATTCTAATCCTACCAGAAAAATGCTTGATCATATTGCACGTGAAGTAGGACTCAAAAAAAGGGTTGTGCAAGTCTGGTTCCAAAACACAAGAGCTCGGGAAAGAAAAGGACAATTCCGTGCAGTGGGTCCAGCACAGTCTCATAAACGGTGTCCATTTTGCCGAGCACTGTTTAAAGCAAAGTCTGCTTTAGAAAGTCACATTCGTTCTCGGCACTGGAATGAAGGAAAACAAGCAGGTTATAGTTTGCCACCAAGTCCTTTGGTAGGCACAGAAGATGGAGGGGAGAGCCCACAAAAATACATGTTTTTTGATTATCCATCACTTACAAAGATTGATTTATCAAGTGAAAATGAATTAGCTTCTACTGTCTCAACTCCAGTTAGTAAAACGGCAGAAATGTCACCGAAGAATCTTTTAAGTCCTTCTTCCTTCAAAGCAGAATGCAATGAAGACATTGAGAATCTGAATGCTGCTCCTGTTGATGGTGGATATGATCACAATAAAACTGATTTTGATGAAACATCATCAATTAATACAGCAATTAGTGATGCCACAACAGGAGATGAAGGAAATAATGAAATGGATAGTATGACTGGTAGTTCAGGAGATATGAAATCCACATCATCTCCTAAAGAGCCAAAAAATATTATGAATGACAGTTTGCCAAAAAACACAAACATGCCTAATATGGAGATCAGCGATGACAAGTTTCTGTTCTCCTTAACTAGCCCATCGGTACATTTCAGTGACAAAGATAGTGAACATGACCAAAATGTTTACATTACTGATGATCCTGATGATAATGCTGATCGCAGTGAAACATCAAGCATAGCAGATCCAAGTTCACCTAATCCATTTGGAGCCAACCCGTTTAAATCCAAAAACAGTGATCGGCCAGGTCATAAGCGATTTCGGACACAAATGAGTAACCTACAGCTTAAAGTGTTGAAGGCTTGCTTTAGTGACTATCGGACTCCAACCATGCAAGAATGTGAAATGCTAGGAAACGAGATTGGCCTGCCCAAACGTGTGGTTCAGGTTTGGTTTCAGAATGCTCGAGCAAAAGAAAAAAAATTCAAAATTAACATAGGGAAGCCATTCATGATCAATCAGAATGCAACTGATGGATCAAGACCAGAGTGTTCTCTATGTGGAATAAAGTATTCTGCACGTTTGTCTATAAGAGACCATATCTTTTCCAAACAACATATTACAAAAGTGCGAGAAACTGTGGGAAGTCAGCTGGACCGGGAAAAAGACTATTTAGCTCCTACAACTGTTAGACAGCTGATGGCACAGCAAGAACTGGATCGTATTAAAAAGGCTACAGATGTTCTAGGTTTAACTGTACAGCAACCAGGCATGATGGACAGCAGTTCGCTTCATGGAATTAGTTTGCCAGCAGCTTACCCTGGACTTCCTGGACTTCCTCCAGTTCTTCTGCCTGGAATGAATGGTCCATCTTCCTTACCTGGATTTCCTCAAAGTTCAAACAGTAAGTAAACAGGCAGTATGGAAATTGTTACTGTTATTGGGGCACAGGGAACTGGTATGTTAGACTTGTCAAAATAGCTGAGGGTACATTGTAGTTATGAAGCTATGCATTAAAAAATACTGTAAATTGAAAGGTGGATTTAAATGTCTTTGTAATATGAAGAACATTTTCCAAAGTAATTTTACACAAATTTAGAAAACATGCATAACTTTTTGCATTTTATGTACTATTACTGTTTGTACTGTTAGCTTTTTTAAACAGTTTAATTTTTATAAGTATGGAATTTAAAGCAATATAACATAGTTTGCAGAGCAGGGCATTTATACCAAAGTTTTATAAAGTAGTTGAGTAATTAAGAAATTTGATCTTATAAATATTTGCCTTTTAAACGATAGTCGCAATTTATGGATAGATTTCAGTTGGAAGACTCACTGCCTTTGGTTGGATTAGTTTGGGTAGTGAATTAGTCATCATAATTAGAGAGCTATTTTTTTTTTAAGATGGAGTCACTGATCAGCCTTCATTCCCTCTAAGATGTGTCCCTCATAAATACAGAGAACATTATTTTTAAACTGTCATGCCATCCCTATTGAATGTGCTGATTTCCCTCTAATAAAACACTTTTTATTAAAATGTATAAAATGTTTAACTTTTTAAATCCAAATAGCTACAGACCTCTCCATTTAAGTGACAGGTAAATGATCCATTGTAAAGAACTACGGTACATGTGGAAAAGGCTTCTCTGTTCAGATCAGTCTTCAGAAACTTCTAAGTTGGGCAGGACAAATGAGCATGTTACAGAGTACTGCATCAATTTTATATTCATACATCCTTGTCATTTATGTTCTTACTCGCTGAAGATGAGAGCTGAGATCTCAGGGACATTAATAAAAGCTTAGTGGGTGATGAACACTAGGACGACACAAAAACCTCTCCCAACCTTCTCTTTTGGCTGAACTTTTACAGAAGAAAATTTAGCTCCCTTATTAATGTCAGTAAACTTTTAATCATTGTTTTTTATTTCAGCCCTTGAGTCTCTCTGAACTGTCTGTCTAACAGTCTAGTCTGGCCATTTCCTACAGAGGGAAAACAACATGAAATTGGAAATGTGTACACAACAGCTTAAGAATGTAAGAGGTGCCCTGTGGGATGAAACTAGTTGACCATCTCGTCCCAAATTGTGTCTCACACAGTGGTCAAATAGTTGCCCTAGAGGGACAGTATACAGGAATTAGAGGCTAATGCTCTCACCCTGAAGTTTCCACTGGTCTTCAGAGGTATTACTGTTTCTGAAAGGTTTCTTTTACTCATGTGGCTAGTAGCCATGATAGATCTATCTTCTATTAATCTAGTGAGAGTGTATGGCTTCGGCACTGCCTCTCAAGGAAACATCTCAAAAACTGTTAAGAAAAGTAGAATGATCCCACCTTCTCTTTTCCTAATCTGACAAGTTATGGATAGTATTGTAAGACTTAAGTGATGCCTTGAAACATTCCATAGTTTTTTTTCCCTCCCAGTGTCCTGATCACTGATTGATCTGAGATAGTCTTACGCTCTCTCCAGACCTTGTCAGCTCTGTTTGTGATTTCTGCAGCACACACCTGTTGACATTTCAGTTTTCTAGAATACGGTCAAAGTCCATAAACTGCTCCAGTTCTAAATGTATGACAAAATTTCTCCATCGTTGTTGGGTCGGTTAATACGGCTGACTATCAGGAAGTTTTATACTTCAAGTAGGAATCTGCCATACTGTGGCTGTGGTCACACGGAACATTAGCCACGCTACAGAGACGGAAGATAGGCGGATTTTCCGGGCGCGATCACAGCGCCACATCTGGGAAACGTAGAGCTCCCGTGCCGAACCCGAGGCTTCCCGCCGAAGATTCAGGGTAAAAAACTAGTACCTCCGAGGTACTAGTTTCCGGAAACCGCAGGTCAAGGACGGGCGCCTGATCGCGTTTCCGGTGGAATCCTGTGGCATCCAGCGCCCGCCCATGTCTCGTCGCGAACAGGTTTTCCCCCCCAAGTCTCCACAGGATGCGCACAAGCGCCCAATGGTGCATGTGCACAAAGAGGCCCCCTCCCACTGCAGCCAGGCTTGCCACCTCTGGAGGGTCACTATGGCCACTGTCGCATAGGCGGTTAGAGCGGCTGTGACGAGGGGGCCCACCTCCCCCTCCATTGGCTATGCCTCGGAGCTCTGTTGGGGTCCAGAAGCGTCTGTCGCCCTCTCCGGTAAGCTCACCACCCGCCTTTGGATGTGCAGATACGATTGCTCAGTCATGCGTATGCACAAACTTCAGTTTTTTTAAAAAAAATCCATCCCGTTTGCCACAGAAGCGGCACCTAGCAATAGCTGGTGTGATCGCACCGCACCGGTTCTTTGCCGCGCTGCAGGATCATCGTGTGATCGGCACCTGCCCCCTAACCACGGGACCTCCATGGGATCTCGAAGGGACGTCTGATCACGCAACTGCGCATTATTTTCCTCCGGGGCAAACAGCCACGCTTCCCCCCTGCATTTTTCAGCCCGTATGACCGGGGCCTGTGAACTGGTTTTAGATTACCCAAGGTTCATTTCAAAGGTGAGAATAGTCCCAGCTTTGTAGCCATCTTCAAGCAATTTAAAAACAACCTGTTATCTCTTTTGGGGGCATCCTTAGAGCTCTGGGAGCCCAACTGCTGGAGCAGTCCTAGCAGGCACACTCTCATACCTTAAAGAATGGCTGGAAAGGGAAGACTGTTTTTGCCAGGCATTCTGAGGATTTTAAAAGAGCACCTCTGCATAATTACCACAGCAGGCATAGTCTCCACCTTATGGACTAATAAAAGAGGAGATATCTTGCATGCATCTGACTCCAAGCCTCCCCCTCCCATGTCTGGTGCAAACCCCTCGCATGTCTGCAGGAGTCTGCTCTTGGAATGTAAAGCCTGCCAAAAGTACTTTCAGCTCCAGATTGACCCAAATGAACTAACTAGAACTGGATATGGGGACTGCCCCCTTTCTCCTAAATTTCTTCCTGCAGCCATGACCCCATCTGCCAGTTTGGTGTAGTGGTTAAGGGTACGGACTGTAATCAGGGAGAACTGGGTTGGATTCCCCAGTCCTCTACCTGCATCTGCTGGTGTGACCTTGGGTCAGTTACAAGTTGTTTCAGAGCTGCTCTCATGAGCAATTCTGGGAAGAGCTCTCTCAGCCCCACCTAACTCATAGGGTGTTTGTTGTTGGGAAAGGAAGGGAAAGAAAGAGATTTTAAACTGCTCTGAGACTTTTTTGGGTACTGAAGGGTGGGGTATAAATTCAATCTCCTCCTTCTCTTCCTCCTCCTCCTCTTCCTCCCTCCCCCCCCCGACCTTGTTCTGCATCCCAACACCCTGTTGCAGCCTCTTGTGCTGTGACTTCTCTCACTCTCATTTATACTACTATATTAAAGATTTGAAGATTTCCATAAATCACTGAGATAATCCACCTGGAAGTAATCTACATGCAGTGGGGTTTGGGCCTTCATTACCCACCTGATGCATATCTTTATATTGAATAAAATCTCAGAGTACAAATTCTTCCCCACATTCCCATCCAGTTTTTGCTGACCTGAAAATATATTTATTTACTGTTTATTAACAAGATTTTACCCTGCTTTTCTTCCCCCATAGAGCCAGCAAATTAAAATATGCCAGTTAATATTTAATTAGAACCAGCACCATTAGAACCCCAAAATTCATCATTAAAACAAGTTAAAACCAGAGCTTAACATAAGTACAAAAGATAAAACACCATTTAAAACATTGGGGAGGGAGGAAGGAAGGACTACTGGGCAAATGCCAAGCAAAACGAAAAAGTCTTCATCTACTATCAGAAGATGCCAACAGAAAGAGGAAGGCAAATCTCCTTTTGGAGAAACTTAGAGAGTTTTGGTGCAACTACTGAGAAGGCCCTCTCCCGGGTTAGCACCTGAAGCAGACCCTAGGAAAATGACCACATTGGTTGGGTAGGTTCAAAAGGGAGCAGGTAGTCCTTCAGGTACGTTGGTGCCAAACCACATAGGGCTTTAAATGTCAGCACCAGCACCTTGAATTGTGCCCAGAAATAATTGGGAGCCAGTATAGATGGAGCAAGAATGGAATTATATGGTCCCTACAAGCCACTCCAGTCAACATCCTGGATGCCACATTCTGCACCAACTGAAGTTTCCAAACACTTTTCAAGGGCAGTCCTGCATACAGCACATTGCAGTAATCTAATCTAGATGTAACAGGGCATGTACCACAGTGACCATATCTGCAACATCTGGCTAACCAGTCTAACCTGTTAAAAGGCTCTCCTGGCCACTTCTGACACCTGCTTATCCAGCAGTAGGCTTGGGTCCAAGAGCACCCCCAAACTACAAACCTGTTTCTCCAAGGGGAGGGCAGTCCCATCCAGCACTTCCATCTTATTCAGATCAAACTTCAGCTTATTAGCTTGCATCCACTCCAAAATAGCCTCCAGACACTGGTTCAGGGTTTCTACAGCCTCCCTGAGATCAGCCAGAAGTGCAAGACAGAACTGAGGGTCATCCACATATTGGTGAGAACCCAGCCCAAATCTCTGAATGACTCTACCCAGGGGTTTCATGTAGATGTTATAAAACATAGGGGGACAAAATAGAACCTTGAACCCCACAGACCAGAGGACAAGGGACTTGACAGCGGTCCCCCAGCACCACCTTCTGAAACATTCCCTTGCGGTAGGATTGGAACCACTGAAGAATGGTATTTCCCAGTGCCAGCCCAGAAAGGCGATACAGAAGGATACAATGATCAGTGAATCTGAAAGCCACAGAGAGCTTCAGAAGAATCGACAGAGTTGCACTCCCTCTGTCCATCTGTCAGCATAGGTCATCTCCCAGGGCAGTTTCAGTCTCATAATCAGGCAGAAAAGCAGACTGGAAAGGATCTAAACAATTTGCCTATATCCTTCTAATGGCTCTGACTGGAGTAGTGGAAGTGACAGGAATAGAACAATTATATTAATCTTTCATCTATTAAAATACTTAATTCTCAGAATTTTTTTAATGTATTAATTTAATGCTAACAGCCCGTTGTTTTGCGGTGGGCAGTGGTTTACATCTGTGTTTGATACAAATCAAAATCTTGTAACTGATCCTTGCTGTAATCCTCTAATTGGTTTGGTTTTTTAACCTTGTAAAAAATTTCAAAATATTTTAAAATTACTCCTTCTTGCTTCCAAGGGTTTTTCCGCCATATGTTCAAAGCACTGTGCATGCTCCTCTGAATTTAAATGTATAACCTTCTTGATATTTCCTCTTTGTGTTGTGATCAAATACATAGAATTCATCATTTTTAGCATATTCTTCTAATTTAATTAAATATTTGCATAAATGCTGGCAGAACTGGAATCTTTCTTCAGCATAAACCTGTTCTCCAGGTTCTTAACAGAGGAATGTATGTCATATTCTACATGGCTAAGTTTGCTTTTAGAACCACAAACAAAGCCATTTTTATGTTGTAGAATGACTGCTTTTTATGCTTTAATATGTATTGAGAAGGTCCCAGAAAGACTGCACATAACAACATCCTCAACAATCTTTGGAAAGTTTGTTAAATATGTCATAAAAGAGAGAATTCACAAAACTAGTTCAATATGTTAGTCCATGAACAAGTAAAAGCAGATTTGCTCATCGACCCACATCAAAGGATTCTGACTTTCACAGAAACATTAGGAATTAAAATAGCATTGTAAAACTACCTGTAACCATCTTGACGTGATAGGAAGGAGGCTTTTTGATTTGTGAACTATGACCTTTGTATTAATAGGAATTGTGTCACTGGGCCAATAGACCTATAACTAGTAACAATATGAAATGGAAGTAAATGATATCCTAATCCCAGTCAACTAAATGATAGGGATGCAAGGAATTTTCACATACTGTTCTTATGAAATCCCGGTTTCTTTTGAGCTCAGGATGCCAGAATATTGAGTGTGTTTTAACTCAGTTCAGAGCAGTATACTGCCTGTTCTTGTGCCTTGTGTGTGCTGTAGTCAGCAATTCATTTAAGTCCAATTAGTTTCCTCTCCCACCTCTGCATTAATTAATATAACATATATTGTGACCAATTCCTTATGTTAATCTTTAACATCTGTCAGGATGCTAGTCACCTTGCTTTTAACCTCACTGTGCACACGCATTCAGTTATTTTTGTTGTTATATCATGCATACTGCAATCCACCTGTAAATTTGATATAACTGCAAGGCTGGTGTTTGGATGTCGGGTCAGGCAGCATGTTATGTGAAAACCTAAAGAAGGACAAAAATAGATTGTCCCAGGAGATTGTTGTTCTAGCTGTGCATGTATAACAGAATTAGAAATAAATTCTTGAAACATAATCCACCAATTTAATACTATAATAGCTGATGTAAAAATTTAAGTCAGTTGTCTGTCTCATACTATTACATGTGTGATATTTTAAATATGGACTTTTTGAACAAAGGCTTTTTTAACCTCTTGTTTCCATAAGCTGTCTAATTCCTGACAATGTATTTTGGTTTGCCATCAAATAGAAACAATGATATTGTGACAAACATTAAATGGTTGCCTTGTTAAATCTGATAGTCTGAGTTCTAATTGCTTTATTCCTAAGCAGTGCTTTATTCTTAAGCACCTGGATATTGATGATTCTTGCCCTCTCAATTAGTGCTCCCATGTAGCCAATGCACATCTGTCCTCTATTGCAGAACCTAGTCTAGCCACTCTTACCCTCTTATAGGCATGCTTTATGCTCCCATCCTTTGAAAATTAGAGTTTATGTTCTCATTTCTCTACCAGCCTTGTTGGTCTCTGCAAGTAGCCTCTTAACACTGCAGCAAACACTGCTCTGTAGTTGTTATTTGAAGTTTAACAAGGATTTCTTTGTCCCTATGCTCGCATCATTCCAAAAAAGGAGCTATACACTTGTATATTCTTTCTCTACTAAATTCCAACTGCAAGATTTAAGTCATAGAAAAACTGCAGTACTGCTTTTCCACTGTACATATTCCTATGCATGTCAACTTAGAATTAAGTTCCACTTAGTTCCGTGGGGCTTACGCGGAAGTTCATGTGCCTAGGATTGCCACCCACAACCAGCTTCCCATAATAGTCGGGATAAGTTACACTAGCCATAACTGGACCACTCTGCAGCACATTGATTGCAGAGACTTATTTGTTTTAAAATGCTTTTTTTCTTGATGCTGCTAGGGTTGCCAGCCTCCGGGTAGATGCAGTTCTCCCAGAATTACAGCTGATCTCCACACTACAGAGATCAGTTCCCATGGAGAAAAATGGCAGCTTCAGGTGGTGGACTGTATGACATGCCATCTTTGCTGAACGTCCTCCTTTCCCCAAACTCCACCCTTCCCAGGTTCTGCCCCCAAATCTCCAGAAATTTTCCTACCTGGAGTTGGCAACCCTAGCAGTTGCAGAGAATAGCTTCCTAGCAACACTTTAAAGGGGGCGTAGGGAATTCTCTTTTGAGCTACATCATAGTAACAAAGAGCAGCTGAGTCATGGCTGCTTCCTTTTTTATTTTTCCATGATTTTATTTCCCCAGTTTAATTAGGCCAAAGAGCCTATTTTATTAGTTGGATAATTTGATTTGGCAACCTTTATAATTACTGGATTTCTCAGGTGAAAACCTAGTGATATATCATCCCAGAGAAAGAGTAAAAATTAGCTAAAATAAGAAACAGAATCAGAAATCCACAAACCACCAAGACAGAGGAAATATTCTTCCAGTGCTTATTTCCTAATACGCTGCTAAGGAAGCAGTACATTACACAAAATTACTAGGGCTGCAATTTTTAATTGTTAGATTAGTAAAACCTTTAGCTGATCAACCTGCCAAGAATAGTTTTAATCAGTGAGGGCAATTTTAATTAGAAAGTACATGCATGTTTACTTTGGGGGCCTATTTGGTATATAGTATGAAATGAAAAAGGAAATATTAAATATGTCCTTTCCTTCTATCCAAGGATGAATACATTTGTATTAAATTGAAAGTCATGTCATACTTCTTTCAATATATCAAAAAGGCACCTATCTTTAAGTTTTGGTGCAAGATTTTTAATCAGTTAATCAATTAAAGAGCAGTTGATTAATGACATAAATTATGTAATCATTTGACAGCCATAAATACTACAGACTTGGGAATTAGATACGTATAGATTCATTGATTGCAGGGTGTTGCCCAAAAGACCTGTTTTTTTGAAAGGGGTCACCAGGTTTACTGGATATAGTGTGGCCAATTGGTTTCATGTTATTTTGTAAACATGACTTATCAGATTAAAACTGATTTTGCAATACAGTCTTAGTTCACCCAGCACAACTCCCATCTAAATGGTCTTCAGTTTGAAACCTGATCTATGGGATATCCATTGAATAGTCTGAGAGGTTTGCATTTGTGGACTCCCCGCCCCCCCATATTGTCCTTATTGCCCACACACACTGTGAATGCTAGGGACAAAATTTTAAATCCTCTGTATTCTGGAGTTTTAGAAAAAGCACATCCATTGTTTTGATATTGGAACAAAAATAAACCCATTCAAAACTAGTTGTTCATGTTTTTAAAAGCATGTTTAAAGTTAACACTTTGCAGCATTCAAAAAGATAGTTTGAAAGGATTCCTTTTTTCTTTGTTTATTTCTATGAAAAATAATAACCCTTCAGAAATGGCCCTTTGCATGCTCTAAAAGCATATACTAATTGTTGTTAGATTTTTAGCACACAAACAGTTCTTTTTGCGGTAGCAGCATGGGGGCGAATCCATTTTTAGGAAAACCAGCCTACATGCCCATTTTCCTGCATATGGGGATCCCCTTAAGGGATCTTGGAGTGACGGCTTTCAAGGACCAACTCAAGGGCTGCCAAGGGTTACCCTCATGCTCAAGTGGCAGGGAAGACCACTTAGTGGCAGTTGTGGTATCCAGCATCCTGTCATCCCATGGTTCTCCCCATCCCATCCCAGCAGGCGAGCTGGAGTGGGGCTGGAGTTCATCAACTGGCAGGCGGGTCAGTTGATACCAGGATCCATTTGCCTCATGCTGTGCCAAGGCTTCTTACAGCTGTAACCAATAAAGTTTTTATTCCACAGCTGAGTTGTAAATGTATGTTACTATTGATGTAGGAGGGATACCTTGCTTTCATTGTCCTCTCCCTTCCTCGGGGTGCTGTGGCCGCAAACAGTTCTTTTTGAAGGAATTTCTATCCTTCCCCATCTGTTTGAGGAAACAGGAAGGAGAACCTTGGGATTTCACCAAAATTT